AAAACTGGCATAAGCACCATTGCGATTCTTGCGCGCAGTTGGCGATGGATCGAGCTCCCATTGACAATAACCTATACGGTAAAGGATCTCACTCTTAAAGTCGCGATTTGGCGACTCCGTGTCTTGTAACTCAGCGAGCACATCCCGAAGGCCATGCAGACCTGTCTCAAGGTCCCCATTGAGGGCCTTACACCACGAAAGCTCACCCCTGATCTTAAGATTAGACGGGTCACGCTCTAGAGCACGCTCCAAGAAGTTGACGGCTTCAGCATAGTCCTCGTCGACCTTGAGAATCAATCCAATGCCCAGCAGACAGGCTGTGGATGTTGGTTTTCTCTGCAGAATCTCTTCGAAGATTTCTTTAGCTTCGGGGTGATGCCGAGGAATCTGGTAGTAGATCAAAGTATTCGCCAGTAGAGTTTTTAGGCAGTCAGTAGTGTTGACTAGGCTTACCCCAGTCAGCCTGGCGAGATCTGTGATATTTGAGAGACCCTTCCGTGCAACATCCACAACGCTATCGTATTCTTCCAGCGACAAATAAAGCTCACCCATGATGCGATTTGCGACGACTGAGGAGCGGGATGCTTCGAGGCCTTCCACCATCATTAACAAGCGATCCTGTACATCCAGCTCGTGATTATCGCCGTTTCCATTTTCGGTCTCTTCCTCAGTGGGTGTAGATTCCTTCGTCTCCTTCGTCTCTTTGAGGAAGGGGGAGAGGTCACTGGCTAAGAAGCCTTTCAGAATCTTCGTAAGTCCATCTTCTGGGAAAAACTCGATGAAATCCTTTAGGAAATTGAGGTCCCACTCCGAGAAGCTTTGAATGTCTTGCCACTCAAGTATAATCTTCCAGGCCAGCTCAAAAGGGTGTTTAATGATGACCATGCCGCGAGCAGCCTGCAAGACCTCACCGTGCTTTTCAGCCTTTTCGGCTGGCGGTAGAACGACGAGTACATCATAAGCTCGCTGTAGAAGCTTTTCTTCGTAGGTACGTCGAACTTGGTCATCATGGGACCAATCCACTATTCCACGGTATAGCTGCTCAAGCTCCCCCCGTTTGAAAGCCTCTCTTTTCACCTCCATGGTCACATGATCGATTCTCGCACCGAGCCGGGTCCTTCGCTCTCCAATTTCTCTATTAATAAATTCCTTTTCCTCCGATTCCGTCATTTCTATGAGGCGGAGGTATGTGTGGGAAGGATGAGGTATCCGTCCTTCGAGGTAGCTATAAAGCGGACTCGTTGGGAGGTGTAGTGCGAGGGCTTTTTTATATTGCGAACGAGTGCCCTGTTTCTTCGCGAACTTGATATATTTATCCACGACATCCTGGCAACGGTGCTTGTCATCGCTAGGATCGGATTAGCACTTGTTCTTGGTATATACACCTTCCAATACGAACGTACACTTCGGCAAATATCTGACCAAGTCTCAGAGCTGCCTCATGATAAGCATCTAGCTTAAAGCCTCCCTGCTTCTCGTAGAGATTAATCAATCCCTGCCACGCTGTCTTGTCGTCGGATTTTGCACGAGTTGCTGCGAGATATGCGCGCTCGGATTCTTCGTTTTTGTTTAATTTATCCAGAGCTAGGCCCAGAAAGACGTTCCTGGTCGTAGAATCGAGATTAGCTCAAATTCGAATTAGCAAAGCTTGGTCGTCACATACGCATGATAGTTTTGAGGCTCTTGCTTCACCACCGCTTTGGCTTTTTCGGCAGCATCTTCGAAATCCCTGGAGTCCAGCGCAATGCGCACTGCCTTCAGAGCCGATTTTGTTGACATGCTGGACAGCTCACTTCGTTGCCCTGCCGTAATGGCAGCTTTGGATGTTGGTGCCTCTCAGCTGGCTAGCTATTGAAATGAATAGTGTGATTTGTGGGGAAAGTCAAGCGGGCGATACGTCAGAGGCCCCGTGGTCACCGTTATCTCGTATTCGTATCACTCACTACCTACTGGTATCGCCCTCTCCAGTCCGCAACTAAGTGACCTCTGTGATGCTTGCTGATCTATAATGTTCATTAAAGATTATGAGAAATGACATATGACCTTCCAGATTTCTTAGAATCTTTGTTCCTTTAGGGTTTTTTTTGTGTTGTTTGATCCTCAGTACCTGTTGATGATCAAGTTGGGCGGGCATTAACCAGCAGTTCAGCAAGCTATCAGAGGGTCAGTGCTCTCATTAATCATTCACTTGATCATGACCAATATTCTGCATGTTGCTGTTGTCGTTGCTGACCTTCCTATGCATATAGTAGATTCTGCTCGATAATTTTTTGGGAACTCCCCTATTAAGCATACTCGCCTAGAGGACTACTCACCGTCGATTTGCTGCGGAGGTCGTCGGCCTATATTCTCCTCCCTTGTCTCCACTAGTCAGCATACGATACTTTCGACCACACAGTAACTATGGGTGTGTTGCGGCTTAGAGTCGATGGTCAGACGTTCAGAGACCCTGACAACCGTGAAATCACTTTGAGAGGCATCAATGTAGCCGGTGAGGCCAAATATCCCAAGAAACCCGATATCCCCTCTTACGTGTCGGATGGCTTCTTCGATGCCGATGATGTCTCCTTCGTGGGTCGACCATTCTCTCTTGAAGATGCGCGCACACACTTCTCCAGATTACGAAAATGGGGTTACAATACCATTAGATATGTTTTCACTTGGGAAGCCATCGAGCATGCGGGCCCAGGCAAATATGACGATGAATGGATCTCATTCACTATCGAGGTTCTTCGGATTGCAAAGCAGTATGAGTTTTACGTGTTCCTTGATCCGCATCAGGACGTTGTATGTTTTTGATAAATCCCAGTCCCAGAACAGAGCTCTGTGTAGCTGACAGCCTGAAGTGGTCAAGACTCTCGGGAGGTTCCGGTGCCCCAGCATGGACACTCTACGCCGCAGGTTTCAACCCCAGAGGCTTCAAAAAGACCGAGGCAGCCCTCGTTCAAAACACATGCGATGATCCGGCCGAATTCCCGAAGATGATATGGAGCACTAACTACACGAGGCTTGTTAGTCAGACGATGTTCACGTTGTTCTATGGAGGCAGGGATTTTGCGCCGAAGGCCATCATAGATGGCATGAACATTCAAGACTATCTCCAGGGCCATTTTATTGCCGCGTGCAGATATTTTGCTCAGAAGATTCACGAGGCCGGCGACATCGAGAACGAAGTAGTCATTGGTTGGGAAAGCATGAATGAGCCTAATAGAGGGCTGATTGGGGTGCAAGACATATCCGTGATTCCACCCGAGCAGCAACTGCAGTTAGGGACGTCGCCTACTGCTTTTCAGGCCATGTTGACGGGTTCTGGGCGAGCATGCGAAGAGTCTACCTGGGCTTTTGGCGGATTTGGTCCCTATCAGACAGGCAGGGAGCTCGTGGACCCCGAGGGCGAGACTGCATGGCTTCCGGCCGATTACGATGACAGCAAGTATGGCTGGGTCAGGGATCCTGGCTGGAAGCTTGGAGAATGTCTTTGGGCACAACATGGCGTCTGGGACCCGTCCTCAGATCAACTCCTGCGAAAGGATTATTTCGCCAAAAAGCCTCAGACCGGTGAACCCTTGAACTATGACAAATTCACCAATACATATTTTATGGAGCATTACAGAGCTTATAGAGATGCTCTCAGGAGTGTCTGGCCGGAAGCCATCCTTTTCTGCCAACCCCCTGTCATGGAGGTGCCTCCCGATCTAAAGGGAACAGTTGATGACGACCCCAACATGGTTCATGCTGTGCATTATTACGACGGCATTACTCTATTGACGAAGCATTGGTGAGTGAAACAGCCTGAGTCTGGACTATTCTGCTAACTGCCCCAGGAATCGACTTTACAACGTTGATGTCATAGGCGTCCTTCGTGGAAAATATCTCACACCAGCATTCGCCGTCAAAATTGGAGAGACAGCGATTCGAAATTGCCTGCGTGATCAGCTCAAGTTTCTAAGGGATGAGAGTTTGAGATATATGGGAACTCATCCTTTGATTTTCACGGAGATCGGCATTCCGTTCGATATGGACGACAGGCATGCATACAAGACAGGAGACTATAGCGGTCAAGTCAGTGCTATGGATGCGAACCATTTCGCAATCGAAGGCAGCACCGCCAACGGATTCACATTATGGTTATATACAACATCCGTAAGTATATCTATGCTGCCTCCTGCCGAGAGTTTTCATAGATCCAGCAACTGACGCACATTTGAGAATAATCATGAATGGGGTGACAACTGGAATGGGGAAGACTTGTCGATATACTCTCTTGATGATCTAGAACTGCCAAGTGGCAAGCTTCTCGCTTTTGAGAGCGAATTCCAACGCGATCCTCAGTCTCCAGCCTACTCTGAGAGCCAACGCAACACCGAGAGCTACCGAGTGGGTCCACGCGATTTGAAGCAGGCTCTTCAATCACCCTCTATATCATCCGAGATCTCTCAGTCATCCCAGGACAAACTAGGGTTCCGGGCTGCAGAGGCATGGGTTCGTCCGAGTCCAATCACAACAAACGGCCAGATATTGCAATACGGTTTTGATCTCAAGAATTGTGTATTCAGCATGAGACTACTTGGGGAAAAGAAAGGGCCGGGACAAGAGGCCGCAACGGAGATTTATCTCCCTGACTTCCACTTCCCAGACCCTCACACTGTAGTTTCTGTCAGCAGTGGAGAGTGGACGATTGACTATCCAGAGATACATTCCGTCAAATTCCAGCGCTTACGCTGGTGGCATCCCGAGGGTGATCACAACATAAAGATCCAGGGCGTCAAACGCAAGCCCGGCGACCCGACAGTCTCTGGAGAGGAGCTATCGTATCTTGAGCAATGCCAGAAAGGCGGGTGCAGTATGATGTAGAGCTACTGGGTCTAACTTGAGGATACTTGCATCTGAGTCGGATTTCAGATGATTTAGATAGTTTTTGAATGGGATTTATTGACTTCTCTGATCATTTTCATCAGCATCATTATTCAACCTTAATCTATATCTCCCTACTCGACTATTCACACCTTACCTGCCAACACATCCCGACTGGAGGCCATGCTCGCCTTGAGGCCGTATGGGTTATCGCTCATGATGCGCAGGTACGTGAATGCATCACACTTGTAGTAGATAGGCCTCTCGTCTGTCTTCACAAGGCCTAAATCTACCATCTGTTCAAGCACGCGTTTTACGTCTTGCCTATCCGCATAATCTTTCGTGTAGATTGCGATAAGCCGCGGCCTTCCGGAGCCATCGTCCGTCGCAACCTTGGCCGCATCACCCAATTGCCCAGACACGGTCCCAGTCGCAACTGCCTCCCAATACTTATCCACTCGATCGGCGGTGATAAACATCATCCATTTCCCAGACACGACACCCGTCTTCCGCGCCAGCGCGAAGATATCCTGTTCCAATGTCCGCCGCAATGGGTTCAGCTTGCGCGTCAGCGCTGCCTTGGATTTGGACCTCGAACGATCATGCTCCGCTTCTAGCTCTGCTTTCTGGTCCTCGAATCTGTGAAGTAGGTCGGTTCCCTCACGGACGAGTTTGGCGATAGCCTGCTCGTCTGGATCGGCTTTGCGGTGCGGGTTCGCGACGTATATCCATGGCCCAACGTCTTTCTCTTTTGCTGTAGATGGGGGCAGGCGTGCTAGGAAGTCATGGACAGGCTCTTTTGGGCTGCGCGCATTGCGGCGCAGTGTTGTGAGAGGGATCTCGGCGAGCAGGTCTGGATCTAATGGCAATTCGCCTTTGGCTTGATCACCATCGGAGGGTGTAGGAACAGGCTTTGGGGCTCGTAATTCATGCTGGATTGTAGATAGCAAATATGGGTGGATGTTTGTCCAGTACGGTACTGGATCGTACGATTGGGCTAGCTCCTCCAAACGGGACTTTTCTGCGTCATCGCCTATTATTCTCAATAGTTAGAATATATGGATATTAAGACCAGGTTCAGGTAGAATGGCTGTACCGTAGAAGCTGGACTCATCAGAAAATATCTCATCAAGGTCCTCATTCGGAACCTGACGGGACTTTGGCATTGCGTGGGTTTGATGCTGGGGTACCTCTACCTTGGTTGGAATGATGAATGCGATGGGTGCTGATAAGAGGACGTCAGTCTTATCAGTTGGTGGAGTTGCGGTGCACCAAGAGCAGAAAGAGGATGACTTAAAATGAAGCCAAAGATTTTGTGCTAAATATCCTCGTTTGAACTCGCAATTAGACTGGACCTAGCCTTCAGCCCGCGCGAAGTCAAGTACTTGGACAAAGAGTCTAATTAGTGCTCAACAGAGTATCCCACCTGACAAGTAGGATACGATCAATTGAGCTTGAGATTGATGAAATTGCATTTATTTGACCTTCTTCTTAAAGGACCAACATAATTTGCAAGTGTGATTGCTAAGTCAAGGTCTTGGATATTTTCGATCTGGGACATATCCATAGTAGGTGACTAGGTGTTCATCACACCTTGGCCTACCTACAAAGTAAATAGCTCGATATTGCCCCCAAATCTCCCTGCAAAAATTCATTGGATCGGTTCAAAAGCTGATAACGAGCAGAGAGAACTGCGTTCTTCTAGCCATTGTTCGATCCTAGTCGTTAGTCCGGGGATCGCGAGTGGAAGTATATAATCTGTTCCGATGCGCGGGTTGTGCCTTTCTCCGAGATCGAGTTTGACTTTCATTCGACAGAGGATGTCGTAGCCACACACCCCTTCTCGAGTACTCAATCATGAGTACCTTAGTCTTCAGACATTGCCAATCTTTAATCGAGATATCTAATTGTCAATTGGAAGCATGAAGTCATTACTGCGATACTCCGTACAGAGGCTCAAAATCGGTGTACCTGGCAGCTTCTCACCGCCGGGCCCATCATTGGACCGCGGGACTCGCTTATTGGCTCGCCGCCTGGAAACACACCCGACCTCAATAAGTCCACGTTACCGCCATCGTTAGGTGTCCAGACTATCTGCCCCCATAGTCCCGACGTTTCTCGCTTTGCTCCTACCCATTCACCCTGTGGCAGTGGATGAGGAGATCACGTCTGTGATTTTATTTATATCAGTGTGCGGAGCTTGCTACTGAATGGTGCGGCTCCGGCCAGCTTTCCAAGATGCAATCCTCCCCAAATATGCTCACCAAGGTACGTTGCTCCCCCTCTGTTACCCCCTATCCCCGCGCAAACCAAGTCACTCAACTAAACAATTGCTTAACGAATAGTTCGAGTCGAAGTCGTCTCGTGCGAAGGGAATTGCTTTTCATCCTAAACGGTCAGTCCTGGATGGACTGCTTAACGCGTTGCAATCGAGAAACTGCTGACCCTGGAACAGACCATGGATCCTTGTTTCACTCCACTCGTCGACGATTCAATTATGGGATTATCGCATGGGAACTTTGATCGATCGCTTTGAAGAGCACGATGGACCTGTTCGCGGCATTGATTTCCACCCGACACAACCCCTCTTCGTCTCCGGAGGCGACGACTACAAGATTAAGGTCTGGAGTCTTCAAACCCGGAGATGTCTTTTCACCTTGAACGGGCATCTGGACTACGTGCGCACGGTATTCTTCCACCGCGAACTTCCTTGGATCCTCTCTGCCTCCGACGATCAAACAATAAGAATATGGAATTGGCAGAACAGATCGTTGAGTAAGTGGGCTCTGGCCGCTTGTCCCGACAAGCGAGGCTGACTTGAGTTCTAGTCTGCACAATGACGGGCCACAATCATTATGTGATGTGTGCACAGTTCCATCCGACAGAGGATCTAATCGCTTCCGCGTCGCTCGATCAGTCTGTTCGCATTTGGGATATTTCCGGGCTGCGGAAGAAGCATTCGGCACCGACATCCATGACATTCGAAGACCAGATGGCTCGCGCCAACCCCAGCCAGGCGGATATGTTTGGAAACACCGACGCTGTTGTGAAATTTGTCCTGGAGGGCCACGACCGAGGTGTGAACTGGGTGTCTTTCCACCCCACTCTACCTCTGATTGTGTCCGCGGGAGACGATCGCCTGGTCAAGTTGTGGAGAATGAGTGGTACGTGCCGAAGACGCTGTTGTCCTTTGTTCAAATGATTTTCTGGATCTGCTGACACTACAGTGTAGACACAAAAGCCTGGGAAGTCGATACATGCCGGGGTCATTTCCAGAACGCCTCCGCTTGTCTATTCCACCCCCACCAGGATTTGATCCTCTCCGTCGGCGAAGACAAGACCATCCGAGTGTGGGACTTGAACAAGAGAACCTCGGTGCAGTCGTTCAAACGTGATGTGGATCGGTTCTGGGTCATTGCTGCCCACCCCGAAATCAACCTCTTTGCAGCTGGTCATGACACTGGTGTCATGGTATTCAAGCTGGAGAGAGAAAGACCCGCGTCTGCTGTTTACCAAAACCAATTGTTTTACATCACGAAGGAGAAGCACGTGAAATCATACGACTTTGCCAAGAATGTTGAGTCGCCGCCGATGCTTTCACTACGCAAGTTGGGATCACCGTGGGTGCCGCCAAGAACTCTTTCTTACAACCCCGCTGAGCGCGCCATTCTCGTCACATCTCCCACTGATGGTGGTGCGTACGAGCTGATCCACCTTCCGAGGGATGCAACTGGCGCTGTCGAGCCCACAGACGTCAAGCGCGGCCAGGCTTCTTCCGCCGTCTTCGTCGCCCGTAATCGATTTGCTGTCTTCAGCCAGGCCAATCAACAGGTGGACATCAAGGATCTAAGCAACTCTACCACAAAAACTATTAAGCCGCCTACTGGAACAACTGACATTTACTTTGGTGGAACCGGAGCTTTACTCTTCATTACACCCACCTCCGTGGTTCTCTTTGACATCCAACAGAAGAAGCAGCTGGCAGAGCTTGCAGTGAGCGGTGTCAAGTACGTTGTTTGGTCCAATGATGGACTCTATGCTGCTTTGCTCAGCAAGCATAATGTTACCATTGTTACCAAGTCCCTCGAGCAAGTGAGCAGCCTGCACGAGACCATTCGCATCAAGAGCGCGGCGTGGGATGACGCAGGCGTCCTTCTTTACTCGACCTTGAACCACGTGAAATACTCTCTTCTAAATGGGTACGTGTATAGATTTTCCCATTCATTAGCTGATGCCGATGCTAACAACCTCGTAGGGACAACGGCATAATCCGCACTTTGGACCACACCGTGTACCTCGTCAAGGTGAAGGGCAGAAACGTTTACTGTCTGGATCGTAATGCCAAGCCCAGGGTTCTCGAAATCGACCCTACCGAGTACCGCTTCAAGCTCGCCCTGGTTAAGCGCAACTACGACGAGATGCTGCAGATTATCAAGACCTCAAGCTTGGTCGGGCAAAGTATCATTTCGTATCTGCAAAAGAAGGGCTACCCTGAGATTGCCCTGCAGTTCGTGCAGGACCCTGAGACTCGTTTTGAGCTTGCCCTCGAGTGTGGTAACCTGGACGTTGCCATCGAGATGGCGCGCGAACTGGACCGCCCGAAGTTGTGGAGCAGACTGGGAATGGAAGCTCTGGCTCACGGCAACCATCAAACTGTGGAGATGACGTATCAGAAGCAAAGAAACTTCGACAAGCTTTCATTCCTTTACTTGTCCACCGGTGATTCTGAAAAATTGGCCAGGATGGCCAAGATTGCAGAGCATCGCGGGGACTTCACATCTCGGTTCCAGAATGCTATCTACCGTGGCGATGTTGAAGATAGAATTCAGATGTTCCAGGAAGTCGATTTGTGTAAGTGATTTTGTGATCAACGTGACTATACTCAGCTAACTCTCAAGCAGACCCTCTGGCCTATCTTACCGCCAAGTCTCACGGCTTGACTGAAGAGGCTGAATCCATTCTCGAAGCCTGCGGGTTGACCGAAGACCAGATCACGCTTCCCACAACCGAGGAGCCTCTGCGGGTGCCTCAGGCCATTGTCCCTAGTTTCAAGGCGAATTGGCCTGTTAAGGCTGCAACTCATTCGTCGTTTGAGAAGGCGTTGCTTGGAGAAGTGGGTGTGGAAGATGAGGAGGCTGCCGCCCTTGGCCTCGAGCCCGAGGAAGAAGGCGAGGAGGCCGTTCTGGCCCGTGAGACTCTTGAGGACGAAGAGGAAGATGTTGCCGGCTGGGACATGGGTGAAGAGATCAACGTGGAGGAGGATGTCGACTTCGTCAACGTCGACAGCGCAGAGGCTGGCGCAGGCAGCTCTGAGGCCGACCTTTGGGCTCGCAACTCTCCCCTTGCGGCTGATCATGTCGCTGCTGGTTCTTTCGATACCGCCATGCAGCTTCTCAATCGGCAAGTTGGTGCTGTCAACTTCGCTCCTCTCAAGAGTCGCTTCCTCGAAGTATATAAGGCGTCCAGGACTTACCTGCCCGCTACCGCCGGGCTTCCTCCTTTGGTTAACTATGTGCGACGCACTGTTGAGGAAACTGACAGCCGCAAAGTCCTGCCCATCATTCCCAAGGATCTAGAGACGATTGCCAACGTCGACCTCCAGGAGGGTTACGCTGCAATGAGGGCGAACAAACTGGAGGATGGAGTGAAGATTTTCAAGGGAATTTTGCATTCTGTTCTTGTCAACACCGTGTCTTCCGAAGCCGAGGTCGAGCAGGCGAAGAAGATCATCGAGACCGCTCGGGAATACATTCTTGCCATGTCTATCGAACTTGAGCGCCGCTGCCTATCAACGGATACACCGGAGAACCTCAAGAGGAGTCTCGAGCTCTCTGCCTACTTTACCATTCCCAAGCTGGAGGTCGCTCATCGTCAGCTTGCACTGATGGCTGCAATGAAGTTTGCCTTTGCCAACAAGAACTACTCGTCCGCCCTGAGCTTTGCCAACCGTATGTTGGCCAACGGAGGCTCGGCTAAGCTTCTTGATCAGGTAAGCCGTTTGGTTTTTCGCAAATCGCTGTGTTCTATACAATACTAATCCAATCTCTAGGCCAAGAAGATCAAAGCACAGTGCGAGCGTAGCCCGCAAGACAAGATCGATATCGAGTTCGACCAGTTCGCCGAATTTGACATCTGCGCCGCGTCGTTCACTCCTATCTATGGGGGTTCTCCTAGCGTGTCGGATCCTTTCACCGGTGCCAAGTATCATGAACAGTACAAGGGTACCGTGTGCCGGATATCTGAAGTGACGGAGATTGGAGCACCGGCTAGCGGACTACGTCTGTTCGTTCCCGGCCAGTAGTAAAGATAATGTATTGATGGGCTTTTCGCAATTGTATTATCTCCCTGCTTTTGATGATTTCAACCCATAAAATATATTCTCCCTAGTCTGGAAGAGGTTTGTGGCGGGGGCGTCAAGGAACTAGGACGCCTTCTGCATTTTAGATGTGTGGTTCCGTTGTGCCTTTTCATTCAGCGACTTCCTATTTATATTTCAACTTTGCGATATCTTTGAATCGAGATGATACAGACTTAACTGCTTTGCATGATGTTGATAGAAGAAAGTGCGTCTGTTCGCTTCAAACGAGCTGGTATTCCCTTGCCCGCATTTTGAGTAGAGATATCTTTATGTTAGTCGAGTCGTCTATAAGTACAATATGCCAAATATACAGTCAAGAAATATATCCATCTATTGCAGTCCATAAGGAGTTGCTCAGTCGCATCTCCCATCCTTCCAACCAGTCCTCCACCTCTCCTCCCAGAACCGACAGTCAAACTCCTTCTTCCCCAGCTTCCGATTCACCTCATTATGCGCCTCGCACATCCACGTCCCGAAGTCCGCTCGTCCAGATAACCGCGGCGCATTCCGACCGCTGGGCTCCGCCATCCACGTCCGGAAGTCCTCCGCACACACCCAGCAGGGATACAGTCGCGAGAAAAGGCTCAGGAACGACCGCATCTCACTCTGCTGCTCTGGCGAGGCCTTGGCGGGGTATGCGGCCGTCAGGGAGTGCAGGAACGTCCAGGTTGAGCGGCCCAGTTCCTCGACGTCTGGGGGGCATTCGGTTTGCATTGGTGAAGGGGCAGGAGCAGATGTGGAGGGTGTTGCTGCTGGAGCGGTCCCAGCTGCGGTTTGGCTTTTGGCTTGCTTTGTCAATGCGCGCCACGATGCGGCGGAGGTGCAGAGGCGGCAGCTGTTTTGGATTGTTAGATTTCCCGGCGCGGGCTGTAGGGCGTAGAGGCGACGTACGGTTTCCCGTCCTTGTCTAGGATCACCCCGTTGGGCAGCTTGGTCATGCCTACGGGGACATCGTCGTCTTTGGAGGCTGTGGAGGAACTTGCGGCGGCGGGGGTTCGGTGGGGGAAGAGCGTCTTGGGGAGTTTCGGTTGTGATTCTGATTCTTGGGGGCGAGGATCTGACATGATGATAGGCGTATACTGCTGTCTAAGTCGGTTTAGGTGAGATTATGCTATGGTCTCAGTGCTGCACTGGATAAATGCGGAGGATGGCGGAGGAGCAGATTGATACCTCGATTGAGATGCTACTCCCCAGGCAGCCTGCTGACGAAACTATGGACAGGAGGTGAACCCTCAAAGAAAAGAAGGAAGGTATCTGCAGGTTAGCGTTAAAGCAAAGGCGAAAAACAATGATAGAAAGAAAGCAGCTGGATGGAAGCTCGGGGATTTCTATATCGGCTTTGTCAGCACAGATGCGCCGATAGTCTAATCTAGATAGAGCTCGGCGCGACGATAACATCCAGCAGGATACTCTGACGTATACACTAGTGCTTGATTAGTGCTGCGACGGACGATTATCGATGTTTAGGCGCGCTCAAAGCTTCAATACCATTCAATTCATCTGATCCCCTAGCAGTCATCCTTATACATCCGTACTGGTTCGCGCTCGCGACTCATTTCCATCGTCGCGTCGGAGTCGCGCCGCACCTCTGGCTGTCTATCCGCTATCATCTGTCCCGGTGAAGTTGTGACGAACTCATTCAAAACAAAAATAAAAAGGAGCTCGGGGAACTCAAACAGATGGCACCTCGATATGCCGTGTCCGAGTCTGACGACGATTCCGACTCGAATCAACTAGCGGCAGCTTCAAAACCTTCCGATGAAGCTCTCGAAAAAGCGCTACGCGACGCGGTCGCCAAGATCTACCGGTCTGCAAAAATGGAGGAATTGACTGTCAAGAGAGTGCGATTGGCGGCAGAGAGGGCACTTGGGTTAGAGGAAGGGTTCTTCAAGGGGGATAGTGCGTGGAAATCGAAAAGTGATCTGATCATCAAGGACGAAGTGGTATGTCATTGTTATCCTGCCTGACTGTCCTAGAGGGCCAATGCTCATGCAAGCGACTTATACTTTGCAGGAGGTGCAAAACAGGCTCGCGCAAGAACCGGCACAGGAGGAAGACGAAGAAGAAGATATTCCCTTGTCTCCTGAAAAGACCGCGAAACCTTCCAAACGCGCAAAACCTACAAGTACCCCTACGTCAAGGAAACGCAAAAAGAAGGAAACTCCAGAGCCGAAGGTCTCAGACGACGAGCAAACCGGAGCGCCCAGCGACAGCGAGGACGAGGTCAAGGACCGTACCGGAAGACAGTCAAAAACCAAATCAGAACGCGCCGACTCGGCTGATGCAGCCGAGGAAGCTGCCGATACTGAGAAGGCCGATTCGGAAAGTGAAATGTCGGTTGTCCTCGATGAGGAACCCAAACCCAGCCGCAAACGAGGGAGAAGCTCAGAGAGCACGTCGGCGAAAGGGAAAAAGAAGGCCCCTGCCAAACCAAAGGAGGCTGGTCTTGATCCCAACGAAGCCGAAATCAAGCGGTTGCAAGGATGGCTGGTCAAATGTGGAATCCGCAAGGTGTGGTCTCGAGAGCTGGCTCCGTTTGATACACCGAAAGCGAAAATTAAGCATCTCAAGGACATGCTGAAGGATGCGGGAATGGACGGGCGCTACTCACTAGAGAAGGCCAAACAAATCAAAGAGAAACGAGAGTTTGAAGCAGACCTCGCCATGATCAAAGAGGGTGAAAGGCACTGGGGCCGGGGGAGTGTGGAGGAGGAAAGTGACAGCAATCTACCTCGACGGAGACTCAATCGCGGTAGACAAACTCTGGCCTTCTTGGAAAGCGAAGGGGAAGAGACCGATTGATCGGTCTGAGTGAAGTAATGATAATAATGTCTAGTTATATAACTTCATCATACCCCCTATGATGAGATGTAGGGAAGTATGTACTGTGCTGGTCATGTGCACTGAATTGGGCCAAAGAACTTATATATGTGACTAATCAGAAAGGATATATTCACATATGACTGACTTGATGAGACCATTGAGTGGAAGAAAGTCATGGTAGTGATGGTTATCCCAGACTCTACTCGTGTCTCTGGACTCCTTCCTGGCAAATGCTGAATGTTGAAGCCCTGAGATTGAGCGTTTGCGTTGAATATCTGTTCTATGGATATTTGAAGCGCTTTCTAATGCAGAAAGCCTATATGAATGTTCAATGCGTTACCAGCTACCTACTTCTTCAATCTTGCCAACAGCTGTTGATTGCCTCAATCGTAGAAACATGCATATTGATTTGTATATTTCGGCCAAGCACGATGTCTTCTATCAATAGTTAACATGGTTGGATAACATATTCATTACTATTTCTATAGGGAGCGCATCCAAGCTAAAACCTCACTCTGAAAACCAGAGCCTGGTTGTCGAGGTTGTAGCCAGATTCATCGGCGTACTTGAAGCGGCCAAAATTCATGCGTCCTGTACGAGTGGTAGTCAGCATACTTGTGCTGGAGGAGGCGAAACACTTCATGAAACCTACCATCCTGTGTGATAAAATCATTATCACTGAAGCTGAAGAGGAAATACTCCCTCGTCTTGGAGTGCTTATCCTCGTTCCCGCGCGGGTCAACCGGCACAAGAGCTAGACTCTCCCACTTCTCATTCAAAAGACCAGCGTCCTGCGCGCCGCCGTTGTGAAGGCCGAATTTGGCTAGTTCTGGATTCACGTTGAAGTCCAGGAAGGGGCAGTACTCTGCCGGGGTGATGCCCGAGTCCAAGACACCCTTCGAGCTGGCGATGGATCCGTCCGCGGCGTCATATGTACCCTTCAGATCAGTCGTAGACTCGGAAATGGAGACGACGTCCGCATGCCGGTAGACGGAGAGGGACTCGGACTGCCCGTGTCCGAAGCCGGAATCGCGCGAGAGAACAAGGAAATCGCCGGTGGGAAGCTGGTGGATCTCCGACTGGGACGCCACCTTTGCCGCGTCCGATGGATCCTTTTCCGTGTAATCATTGTAATTGGGCAGGAGGACGGCATACTCGTGCTTGTATTTCGGTGTGCCCGAGGAGATGTCATACTCCAGCAGCCGCGCGGGCTGGCGGTTCTTCTTCTTCGGGCCGCCTTCCTGGTTCAGCGCCGACTGGATCATGGTGTACAGCGTCTTGCCGTCCGGGGAAATAGTAAGAGCTTCAAAGCCCTGGTTATTGTTGCGGCCTGTCTTGGGATCCTCTGGGACAGGCATTTGGTTGGGGGCATAGAGGGGCGGACTGGCGGCACTGAAGCTGATGGTGCCGTTGCGACGGGGAAGATAGGCCTGAGGCGGTTGCAGGGCTAGCACCATCTTGCCGTGCTTGTCGAATTTATAGACGTAGGGACCGTACTCGTCAGAGATCCAGAAGAAGCCCTCCTCGTCGAGGACGAGGCCCTCGGCGTCGATCGTGATCCTCTTTCCTCCCTTGCCTGCGCCGCCGAAGCCATCGCCGATGTATGTGGCTGCGGGGAGAGGGGGGAAGCCGCGGTACGAGGCATAGCCCGTGGCGTCTGCATCAAGACCTGTGGTAGGCTCGCCATCGGGACCGGTCAGAAGAATGGTGTCGAGGTACTTTAGCTGCAGGTTCGGCTTCGATGGATTCTCAGCAGATGCGCCTGGTGCCAGCTCGAACGAGATGGCCAGCTTGTGAATACGCGACTGGAAATTGAGCGTTCCGTTGGTGTTCCTACAATCGAAGCAGATCAGATTTCAATTCAAGGCTTCAATGGCCATGGTATTAGCGTAACTTACCAGCCACGATCAGGCAAGCAGTAGATGATGCCAGAGTACGAGTCACGGCCCGTCTTGCGCCAGGAGTCTTGATCGATAGCGATAGCGCTGCCAATGCCTCCTAACGTATCACCATACTTATCAACCGCATTGGACGGAATGAATCCGTATCCCGCAAGCCCAGTATACTCGTAGCTTGTGCCACCACATGTTGTCTGGTTCACGACACTGGACGAATTGTGCCGAGTAAGAGCGCCAGCTGTGGCGGCGGCTGTCAATGGCAGCACACTCACCAATGGATTCAATCTCATGATGCTGTCTGCCACTTAAGATAACCTCCTGACATCCTCGACTGGGGAGGAGAAAGCAGGCGATTTAATACTCCTCATGGTTGACCTTGGCATGTGAGGAGCGTCCCAATCAGAGCAGACGCTGCGGAAGGTGCCTTGCATTATGTATTATGTATCGCTATCGAATGAACAACAATGATATTGATGGAATCGCTTAGGGGTAACTCCGTATGTATCTAGACATCCGGTTTCTCGTGGTGTTAGCAGGCAAATGACTCGCGGGAAGGTCGAGATCCTGGCAGCTTGCGTTGAACGTGGTGAAGATTGTCAATCCCATTCGCTCTGTGATACGAGTAGAAAGCCCGATCATCTTGGCTGCAGGAAACTCGACCCCCACCCGGCATTAGCTAGATAATAGTCCTTTAAGGAACGAGTAGATATCACTGTAAATTTCGGGAACGGATTTCTGGATTGGATTTCCCTCCGTCTAGATGCTCCTTAACGTCCCCGGTATAGACCACATGCGATATATTACTGTCGAGGGGCCCATTTGATCATTGTAATGTAGGGCGTCTCCTCACACAGCTGCTCCAGTTTTGGACTTTTGTGCTAGTAATTCTGTTTGTTCAATACACCGCATAAGAATCACTGGACAACGGAGATAGCTCAAGGTTCGTACATTGAACAGCCCCGATCTGACGCCGCGTAAACCGTACAGTCGTTGGCGTTTCGGGAGGCGTAGAGAGCCCGTTCGATTGCCATCTTCTGCAGCTCATGCTTAGGTCAGTTGATGGAAGCGCTTTTCCACCATTGAACATTTTCAAAGCAGGACTATCATTAAAACAAATAACATCAAGTTCAGTATTACTACATTGGATGTTTCTTGCCCGTTATGTCCGGAATCATAATCCGAAGCTTCATCTCGAAGCACCTATTGTACACCCGTTGCCAGATTCTACTTGTTCCAGGTGGTTGGCACCTTGGGATAGTTCTTCGCATCCAGTCCTAGGTCTTCATAAACAGTTTCGTCGCCTGTGTGCGGGTCAGCGCCGTAGCGAAGCAGAGCATGGGATAACTGACCTTTTAGAGATTCGATTCTCTCCTCGTTTTCTTGCTCCAGCTTTTCCAACTCCTCGCCTGGCTGCTCTTCATGCGCCTCCTTCTTACCAGGCTCTGCAGTAGCTGCCTTTCCAAGCTCGTCGGTCGCCTCCCCGATCATGAGGAACTGTGCGTTGGGATAGTCGATGAACTCAGGCTCCAAGGGAACCCATCTATAATCTCCGAACTTTTGGCGGACGCTGCGATGGAGAAGTCAGTTTCTATGCTATCATCGCACGATCATCAACTCACCTTTCCGGATACTCGGGGTCTTTGGGAAGCTGTGCGAAGGACGGGCCAGGATATTTGGGGTTCTTCGACTGAAGAATCCAACTGCCTTGGCTATGAAGACCAAAGTCATCTTGAACTGAGCCCAGTTCTTGCGGAATAGTCAGAATGTAGGCCAGGTGTGAGGCACGCTTTCCAGAGGTTATGGCGTAGACTCCTTCCGCATATGGTCGCGCTTCTTGAACGGCACGTTCTCCTCGGGTCGATGTCTCATATTTCTCGCCCACCATAAAGCTATCGTGGAGTTCTTTCATGGATATTCCGGCCTTCTCCACGAATCCCATGTCTCTCTCTCTACCCGAAGTAGGGAACTTCTTCTTTGGCAGAATCATCAAGCGACAGCGTGCGTCGGCTGCAACCGTGCCTTGGTTGGCGTCCAACACTGCACCCAGAGGGGTCGGACGTAGAACAAAGAAACTTCGGGCAACGTCCTTGACGCTGTGTGGATCCTCAACATTGACTCGAGGCCGGAAGAAGAAGTATATGATTCCCTTTTCGAGAATATTGGAAGGTACAATGTCTTCACGTTCTTGCGACTTCCTGATTCCTGCTTCAACCCCTTGCTTTGCCGGCGCTTCAGTAGGCTTCTCTTCTGGTTCTGCATGTAGTTACTGTTAGCGTTGGCCAAATATCTCCGCAGATTTTATTACCTTTGGCGCCTTTCTCCTCACTCTCTTTCTCGCCTTCACGAGGTTCTGGGGCAGCCTCTTCCTTTGCACCTACTTTGGCCTCTTGTTCTGGCTTCTCTGCTCGCTCTTCGGGCTGTTCACTGAGCTCTGGTCACTGTCAGCTTGATGCGGCGTAAGGAATCCCATCAATGTGGTCGTACGTCTTATGGCTTTTTCCTGTTCCTCTTTTTCGTCCTTTTCACCGGGTCCGGGGACCGCTTCCTCCTTCACCTGCTCTTTCAGTTCTGGCCGGTCCTTCTCTTCGCGCTTTTGCTGCCCCTGTTCCTTCTCTTCTTTCTCATGTTCTGGCTCGCGATCGACTTTCTTTCCCCTCTTTGGTTCTGGTCCCTTTTCGGTGGTTTCCTTGCGCTTCACACCGGTGGTCTTCTTTGGCTTGATTTCGCTGGTGCTTGTGATGGCCTCCTTCGCTTTCTGAGCGGCCTGGCGCGACGATGTTCTAGTGGCCATTGTGGGAGAATTGTGTTTGCTCGCGATGGAGAATTGGGCCAATTGCACGGATCTGAGATGTCACGATTAATGCGACTGATTTGCGAGCAATCAAAACGTACGACAAGCAGAGAAAAGGTGAGAAGCGGCCACGACATCAGTTGCCCCCAGTCGGAGTGAGTGACCGCAATGAGAACCGCCTGACGTCATAGAATTGTTCCTCAAACCCTGCCGGATTAGGTGTATCATCACGTGATTCATGGAACGACAGGACGATTCAAGGCATTTTAGAAATAGTATGCTTTTTATGCGTAAATCAATCTATGTCCATGTCATCACTAACGTTAGGTTTATTGCTCGGGCTTGACCCGCTTGCATCCGTGGATTGAGGACTCAGACTAAGGCTTGCAGGGGAATCGGTTTCAGTCGAGCTGCGTGGTGAGAGAGGAGGTCTTAGGCCTTCTTTGGGGCGCATGCTTCGTCGTCGTAATCTCTTTGGACTCGCACTGGGTCCTTCGTACTGGATATCGGGAGCTGTCTCATAGACTTGTCGTCGACCAGGCACGGAATTTCCTGCCGCGAAGGTGGGTGTTTTCCTCTTCCTTCCTCTCTTGTGGCTCGGACGGCACCGCCAGTCAGGATGATCTGAGTCGCAGTGCAGATCTTGCATTGAATCTACCAATTCTCCTTGCCATGATTCGGCATCATTTGAAACGGGCGAAATGGCTAATCTAGGGACGACCCTAGGAGCTTCATCCTCTGGTTCCTCAATAGCGTACGGCTTCACCACCTCGATATCGCCGTCATATCCAGAATCGCGAGAAGAGATATCTTCGACATACACATCTTCCGAAGCTGTAGAGTTGCTGGGTTTGGTAGACGAGCTTGAATGGCTGAATTCTTCATGACTCTCCGGACTTCTTTGTTCGTTGGCGGGCATTTTGAATTAAGCCGACCCCAGGATGAGAATGTCGCCGATGGAGTGTCCTTCTCATGTCCCAACATAAAAGACATCGATATTGATCATCAAGCCACAATCCATAGAAGTCCCAGGCAGAAATGAGCGGAGTACGGGTTAATTAGAACCCTTAGAGAATGACCGTGACATAATTGAGGTCGTGAGATAAGGTACCCGAGAGCTTCGACCAGTTGTTGATAGTAGCTAAGTAGGCAACTTGAATTGCGGAGCGAAACTCCACTGATATCGAATTTCCACTTTCACTCCTGGCGCTGATTGGCTGGCAACGGGCAGCCATCTCGCATCTATATGGCCAACATTATTTTGAATGCCTTGAAATCAGGCCCAATATGCCATTCTCTACCAAAGTAAAGTCACGGATCAATAGGGAATACTAGCTACGTAAGAATAGCCATTTATTAGCTCTAAGCTAAATCATACGTTTATATCCAGCCCGGCAAAGTGGTAACCAGAGTGGTAAAGTACATTCAAAGGGTCATCGGTTTGGAGAGGCACAATCCGCATTCTGTAGGCCATGATCGTGCCTGAGGATGTTACTAATTTTGAGTAACAAACAGATTTAATGAGAGTTGCACAGAATGATTCATCAAAATGGATTGCTATCTGCGAGTGACATATACTACTCAAAGTAAATAACGCCTATTCTCCATTGCGAAGTATGTCAAAAACTTGAAGCACCATAGTCATTGATACCCACCGAAGAACCCAAGGCACGGCTTCGAAGCAGAATTGGGCTGAGGGACAACTCAGCAATGGCGATTCCTCTCCAGGAAATGCTTTGCATCGCATGGTTAACCGTGCATCGTAGAGAAAAACAATTAATCTTTGACAATATTGATCGCGCGTAGTATGTCTTCGAGTGACCACCCAGGGCCACCGGGCACAATCTCAGCCCACACTTCTTCTGGAATCGACTCCTCAGGACTTAGCAAGCTCCAGTTCGGGCTTGGTTCCGGCCTGATCCATTTGAAGTCCTCAACTTGGCTCCAGCGGTCTTCGTTATCCGGACGATCGTGGTCCAGAGCCTGGGAACATGAGTACGTGCATTGAAATTGGTGGTCTTCGCCAGAGAATGATTACTTACATATGCTCTGGGGATTCTGCCAAACCGAATGTTGGTGCAATCTTCAATGATTGGGTTGCTGGAACTGCTCAGGTACACGTCCACGCCAGTACAGTTGTGCATGCGGAATTGGCGACACGACACCACAATCACGCTATTTTTAACATCGGTTATATGTGCTGGCCCGTCAATTTGGCCACAGATCAATAAGCTCTCATCGACATCCTTGACAGTGAGACTGGCATATGGCTTGCCGTTTGCAGTCGGTATGGACATATCAACGACGCAATGGTTCAAAGATGTGATAGATGCAGGTACAGCCGCTGTCGAGCCTGATGCAGGAAGCATAATATGGAGACCATAATGATCGTTTACGGAGACAGAAGACACAGCAGTGGCCGCGAAGGCCTTACCCTTATGGGAGTCTCCTTTGTATTTCGATTCAGTTTCACTAATACCAGTGGAAAAGGCCGGAACCGACGTCGGTGCCACTTCTGGCCGGTGAGGCTGAAGGAAATCTGGCTCGTACAAAGGTGTAGATGGGTAATTCGGCGTCTGGCCAGCGGAGGAATTAACCGAAGATGCCTCTGGGGAGAGGTAGCCGGGTAGACCCCCGTGGCCTTGGGCAACTAGCTCGGCCGCATCTGATAGCGAGACAGCGGATGCATTCTTCTTCGTCTTGAAGGTAAATTTGGGGCGTGGCTCAAACGCAGAGCGTGTCTCGGCAAGCTTGTCCTGAAGTGCTTTGATGGCCTGACAAGACAACACCATCAACGAGGTATACACCAAGGCTATGACGGTCATTGACCTACCTCTGCATACACACGTTGATCATAGGTCGGAATATAGCTTGCTGCATCCTTAACCTCATTAGACAATCTTGCAATTCCAGCCAGGCAATGGTCGGTTGCATCCGTCCGTTCCCCTCCTATGAGGGAGGTGTCTGCCAGACGGTCCATCTCTTCTTGAAGAGCTGCAGGGGGGTACGTCGACGTCAGATGATTCTGGTAACAAACGCAAAACGACAAGACCACAGAGACATACCGGTAATCTCATGTTGGAAGTAACGGAAGAATCGTTCCTTCAGCGGGATCTCGGATTTCAGTACGGTCTGATTCTCGGCCTGCGACGGCCGGCGCGATGAATCGAACTCGAAAGCAGGCTGCGACATTGTTGATAGAGTGAAAGAAAACAATTGAGAGCAAAGTGTGATGTGGAGAAGATATCATGTGTCGTCGGCTTCTCGGGAATCTAAAGGTCGTCTGAGAGTGCCGGGGGATGTAGTGATGACGTCGACGCCGAGATTCCAATGTATAGTCAGTTTACGTGCACACAACTCAGCAACTTAATAAATGCTCAAGGTAGGATTTGGCGGCCGTTAAGAAAGTGGTGGACAGAACATGGGATTGCAATACAATCTGCCTATATGCCTTAGGAACAACTCAAGTATTAGTCCAAAGGCCCAGTTACACCAATAAAGTGGGAGGGGCAATTGAGTGTCGCATGCTCTGATCTAGAGAGGTATTGTCTGATGCTAAGCTGATAACCCGATGGCCAGGCTTGCAGAAAATCTCTTTAACATGTTTACTCACCTAGAATGGCAAGCTAAAATTTCAGCTCTGGACTCTTAGACATCAAGTGTTGAGTGCTCTGTCGTCCAGAAGCAACCCTCCACAGCTACCTCATCATATGCTAGTGGTGACGTTGATCACCACTCCCAATCCTACCTGTAGGAATCCGGAGAATTGGTATTCCGGGCAAGACACTCCCCTTTCTAGCCATTTGTGGTATAGTCTAGGTCTGCTATTCCGTGTGTCACCACCTGACTTTCCTCTTTGAGCGGCTGTCAACATCTCCTTTCCTGTAAATACAGCAGAGTGCTTTGACGGCTCTATCTGACTAATTACAATAACAATGTTTCTGATACTGTGGACGGCCAGATTCCGTGACGTCTTTGTCACATCAATACATGTTCCTATAAGATCATGCACTAAATTCCAGACTACCACCGCTTTGCGTTGATTGCATCGCCCAACTTACATACTGTTATATCGCTGGCAGTTCCGCCATGTCAGGTCTCCGAACAGGCGGCATTGCATCCATCTCCGCAACTGACTGATTTGAAAGCGATGAGTTCTGTCGTCGCTGTGCTGGAAATTTCCCGGCTGGGACCCGTTCCACAACTAGACGGTCAAAGTCCGGGCGCAGGTCAAAATCATTAATTACCTCCGCACCCTCACTGTACCTGATTGCTCTGAGTGATAATTTACCATCCTTAGCCCAAAAGGCAAGGATCTCATTTTCCTGTGGGAAGGACAGTGTCAAATTCCCAGGTTTGAAAGCATCCAGGCTTATCTTGGTCGAAGCTTTCTTTAGTTGATATGGCGTGAGGAGAGTATTGGCCTTGCACTCGCACATATAGATCTCGCCTGCACCATTTGCCATGGCGAACCGTGTCCCTGAAGGCGATTGTGCTGCATGAACGATCCTGATGCTGAGCGGATCGCTGACGATGTTCGGGTCAGCAAGAGAGACTAACATCGGAGATTCTCTTCCCAAGAATGCTGTCATTATGACAGTGAAATGGAAGCTGTCGTAGAAAACACATGTGAGGTCTCCATCATTGGCCATCCACTTGTGGTGTTAGCACCAACGCCGCGACACAATCGCTCAAGTGATGTCACTTACTGATGGAAGTTTGAACGACCTTGACTTGTCCGGCGTGATTATCCATTGTCCAGCATTCCAGCCCCAGACATCGACATAAGCGCAATGGTCGCCCAGGTGCGTTGCTACAACAAGGTGCTTTTCATCGACGGAGAATTGAATCTTTCGCTCAATAACTGCCTTTGGTCTGGTTTGGTTGTTGGCGTATTGCCCTTCCTTTGAAGGAGTTGCCGCTCCCGAAGGCGGCTCTTCAAGCAACGGGTATCGATCCAAATGCTCACCCAATGGAACTCTTCGTATAGCTCCTGCACC